AATAAGACATTCAAAATATGTATAATACAGTATATAACAAAAGTAGAATGATGAGTACTAATAATGCTGAGAACTGGATCACTGAATAGGTGTGCTAAAGAACAGTAAAGTGTTCTGGATGGTTCATTAATTCTGAATGTTTTTAGAATGTTCTTCTTTACACTAAAATAAAGGGAACAATTTGGAGTTGTTGTTATTTATAGGTTACTTACTATTAAATTGGGCTGTATGTGGCCCATGAACTAAAATGCCTTTGACACCCCTGATCTAGATCCTTATTATTTACATTTCATGATTGAGGCGTTGCTGCAGATGACAGTACGCAGATACAATTATTGCCACTTCCTGTGCTATGATGAGTGCGGCCTTGCCAATGATAGCAGGTCAGGACGGCTCTGCTCTGGCCAACTCAGTTCTGTGAAATCGCCCTTCTTGGTTGTTATTTTCATAGAGAGAAACAACCGATTGAGGGCGTGTCTACATCCACCTATGGGTAATAGTGGGAGTGGAAGTCAGGCCTGTGAACGACCCCGTCATTCCACAAAGACCGAAATTTATAGAACAGAAGTATGTGTATGCACAGCTTTAAAAATAAGACGATAATATTTATATATGTAATATTTTTACATTTGTGTGTACACAGAATTTTACTCATTAAGATTTAGATATTTCTTGGAGTTGGGGCCATATTTATCAGTAGTACTTTCTACAGCGCCATCATTACTACTACTACTATACTACCGCTTGATACTACTACTAATGTTGGAGGTTTCATATTTTAAATGACTTATATTAAATTACTATACACACTTGTTGCACGCCGAGGTTTCTGAGAATTATTTACAATAATTCCAAACTGAAAGACAGACAAAAGGGTAGCAAGGAGGCCAGAGAGGAAAAAAGCTGACTGAAGCTACTACAAAGAGAAAGAGGGAGTAAGAGAGAGTGGGGTAGACAGATGAGAGGCGTCTGGTACACAGATAGCTCTAGACGGAGGCCATGATTTGATTAATGACTGGGGCGTGATGTGCCCTAGCACTGATACATGACATCCCCATGGAAAGAAGATCCATCAATGCAAATGTAGCTCCGTCGCCGTCGTCAAGAGAAAAACTCTGACCCTGCCAAAAAGTCACACTGTCACCTGACCCTCGTCTCCCTTTCTCCCTTAATCCAACCATCCATCCAGCACTCCTCTGTCCGTCCATCCCTCCCTGTCTCAACAGCATTTGCATTCTATTCTCGCATTAAGCCCTCTCTCTCTATCCTTCGCGCTCTTTCTCTCTCCTCAGCTGCCCCGTGTCACGCTATCTCATGTTTCTCTCCCCTCTTTTAATACCCAATTTGCATCCAATACAAGCAGGACGCTTCCAATGAGGAGCAGACGTGCGAAAGGACAAGCTCTGAAGACTGTGTGTGTCCACACAAACACTGTGTCTTATTTGAATTGTTCTGCCAGAGAGGATTTTTCAGTCAAAGGAGAAAAAAAAACAAACTCCAGCAGGTCTGGAGGGGAACTGGGTTGGGTAGTGTTAGGAGGCAGCAGGTTAGGCAGGTTTGAGTGATGCTCTGGGAATTAGGGGAGACCTTGGACCTGAAGATGATATTGCAGCTGTGAGGCTGGGGGATTGAGAAAGAGAAGGAGGTGGACTATGAAAGACAA